TAAGAAGGCGTCATAAAACTGGAGATTCTCCTCTGGCTAAATGCCTGTTCACAGACTCTCATGCTACAAATGTGACAAGACCGTGCACCTGGCAAATACCTGATGCCAGAATTCACTCCTCCCTATGCCAAGGAGTAGAAAAGAGGGAGACAAAAAAACAAACAAGTAGGCCAATGAAAGTTATTTTTCTCATATTAATCTRTCATCCTTGTTTTAATTTATYATACGATTGATTTATTGCTKMATGTGACAGGCCTATTCATCAAAGACTCCCATCCTGAGCAGCACATTGGTGACAGTAGAGAGGAAAAACTCCCTTTTAACAGGGAGAAACCTCCAGCAGAACCAGGCTCAGGATGGGCGACCATCTGCCTCGACTGGCTGGGGGTGGGGTGGTGGGGGGTGCAGGAAAGAGACACAGCCAAACATAGAAGAACTGGTCCAGGTGTATTTTCCTCTGGAAGAAAGACAAAGAAAACATGTTATGGATAGAAGAACAAACATGTAAAGAAGAGAGACAAGACAACAGCAGAAAGCAGGAAGCGGACTATACCGCATGACATTCTGAGTAATAAGAGTAATAAATTTACTTATATGGTGTAAATACCTCGCTGGACGACTGCATAAGGTGGACATCATGACTGTGAAGCTGGACGTGCTTCTGCTCCGTTAACACAGAGCTTCCTCAGCCGACTTGTGTGCAAAACAATAATCTCCATGGTTCCGCCTCATCTTCCTCTCATGCTGAGCTTGTTGTTGAAAACTATTTGTTTAGCACATTTGCCAAAACCAAAAAATAAACCCTATAACCACTAAATTGTAACGTTACTACATGTTTACATTTTATGAAGAAGGAAGTTGCGCTCCGTGTCTTCTTCTGAAGTTTTCATGTTGATTCCTTTAGTGGTTCTTGGTGCAGCGCCCCCCACAGGTGAGGCCGGGAACAGGTTGTTAAATTGATTTAGTTCGGTTAAGAAAGTGCAGTGTGAATTCAAACCGCACCAACAGAAAATGTAAACAAAGCTTCCAGTTTTGGTCCCCAATCGAACCGAGTCTACCGGACTATCGGGTGTGAGTACGACCTAAGTCTATAGCAGCAGAAATGAAGAATAATTCAGGAAACCTAAGTCTAACTACGTGATTTATCAAAGAGGAAAGTTTTCAGTCTAATCTTAAAGGTAGACAGAGTTTCAGCCTCGTGGACAGAAACTGGAAGTTGGTTCCACAAGAGAGGAGCTTGATAACTGAAAGCTCTGCCTCCCATTCTACTTTTAGAAACTCCAGGAACCACAAGTAAACCTGCAGTCTGAGAGTGAAGTGCTCTGTTAGGAAAGTATGGAACAATAAGATGTTTAATATATGATGGATGTTGAGAGCTTTGTATGTTAGGAGTAATATTTTAAATTCTATTCTGAATTTGACAGGGAGCCAGTGGAGAAAAGCTAAAATGTAATAAAAATAAAAAAATAAAAAAAAACCAAACCATGAAATCTGAAAACTAAAATCTCTGTCTTTAACWTCTATGCTAGACAATCTGGAACTGACTAAAGTAGTGTCTGAGAGTGGAGGCTTGTTTTTGCTGTAATAAGGTATAAGGAAGTCTTGATGGTGCCAGACTATGAAGAGGTTTATATGTAATAAAAAAACATATGAATTCAATTTAAAATTTAATACCCAGCCAGCCAGCCAGTGTAAAGATCCGTAAACAGATTACGTTTTGCAGTTAATTTGTAATTAACAAAGTAAAATTAGAATCTTTAAACAATTCCTGCTTTTGTCCTATTGCAGAGAGTGATGGCATGTTTTTAAAGTAAAAAAATAGGGTGTAAAAACATACTTTTGCAAACTCACTTTAGAAAATAGGGAAGCAGCTGCTTCACCTGTTTCAMTGAGCAGGCACCAAAATGTATGAGTGTGATAGCAACTTGAAACAATAATTCTGTTTTTTTTTTTATTTGTTTAATGTTAGGACTTTCATTTGGGCAGAGCAGTGGTTAGAGCTGTCGTACAAACTCTACTCAGAAAGGCCCCAGGACCTCCTCCTGGCCTGGGGCCTTTCTGAGCTGAGAGTATGTTCTCATCATGCACATGTGGGTATTCTCTGGGTACTTCAGTTTTCTCCCATTTGTTAGGAGAACTGGTAACTCTAAATTGTTTCTAGGGAGAATGTGAAGGTTGTTCATCTGGTTTGTTTMCATGTGGACCTGTGATGGACTTGTGACTTGTCCAGTGGACAGTCTTGGTCCTTGAGGGCTGCTATCCTGCATGTTTTACCTGTTTCCCTGCTCACACACTCGGGCTGCASGAWATCAGGAAAACCTGTGAYGTGCGATAACACGTTATCGCATTATTAAGCACTGCGATAACAGTGCTTAATAATGCGATGATGATATAACTTGAGATAAATAAACAAATACGTATGTACAGTGTGTAGTGTTTATCTTTCTGCTCTGGGTTCAAAGTCCAAAAAAACAACCTAAAAAAACTAATCATTTCCATTCCAGCCTGATTTTTGATTGGTGAAATATTTCAAGCTTCCATCTGAATGACAAAATGCATAAATTAAAACTTTTGAGTTAACCATTTATTGCAGTTTATACATTGATCCATCCATAATCTATACCCACTTATTCCTTTTCTAAGGTCACTGGTGCCCATATCYAGCAGTCACAGTGCGAGGGGCAGGGTACACCCTGGACAAGTCGTCACAGTGATGGACTTGCAGTTTATGCAGTTGTTGCAATATRCATAYTGCACAGGCTWTTATCGCGATGATGATAAATTTTCTATATRTTGTGCAGCCCTATCACCCACCTGATTCTGTGATTAAATTACCGTTTCAAGTTCTGCTGAAGCCTGTGAATCACCTGTCCATTCAAATCAGGTGCTTTGGAGCAGAGAAATAAGATAATCATGCAGTATAGCRGCCCTCAAGGACCAGGATTGCCCACCMCCGAGGTAAAGGAAATGGATGGACGTTTTTCTGTCTTTGCCTGAYCTCTAGACAGAAATGTCTTCAACAGTGCACAGAAGAGGAAAAGTGAAATCCCTGCAGATCATTGTTTCTCAGTAAAAAAAAAATCCACAAGCATTTTTGTTTTATTTTAAGTCATACCTGGGAACAAAGTTATTAGCATGCCTCTGTTATTTTTTTGTGGTCTAAAAACGTAYGCCTTAAAGTGAAGTTTCGGCAGTACTGCTCTGATTGACAGTTCTTATTTTCTTTATTCTTTGTTGTCTTTCAGCTCGTGGGTCTCTGTGTGCTKTGTGTGGGTGTGTATGCAGAAGTTGAAAGGCAGAAGAATCGAACCTTGGAGGGTCTTTTCCTGGCTCCTGCCGTGGTGCTCATCCTCCTGGGCCTGGTGATGTTCACTGTGTCGGTAGTGGGAATGGTTGGCTCCCTCAGGGACAACAAGACCCTGTTGCACATGGTGGGAACTCTGAAGAGGGGTGGATTCATATCTGCAGAGTTTGTTATTCACTTTGTACATTCAGAGGGTAGAGGTAACTGATGTAACTGTTTTACTGCTTTGATCATTCGGCTTCGTGACGAATGTTCAGAATATTACACTGATTAGATTATGAATTCATTTACAAAATCAACATGTGTTCAGCTTTTTATTTGGGTGTATTTGTGTATAATTACATAAATKATCACATTACATTTCACAAACTAAAATTTGTATTCAGTGCACAACAGCACAATTCATAAAACATTAATACCGATGAACAGTTAGTCCTTTTTCCTCCTGTCATGCAAAGGCACAGCTGTTRGTTTTGTTAATAAGTGAGAAAGACCTCAAAAGGAGCAAAGATACACTGTTGTGGTTGCTATGCAACTATCTCATTGGGTATAGCTGAATAAGATAAAATGAAAAGTGAATTAGTTTGAAACAAATAAGTCAGTGATGTCTGTGTTTTGAGGTTAAAGATATGAAATTCAATATATCAAAGTTCTAAAAGTTTGTTTAAAATGTTCATATATAACATTCCATGAATAATTGCTGTTTTATCACATCACTTTCAAACCAGGAGCTTTTTGTTTTCCATCATTTTATGGGTGAGGGTTGGAAAAATGGCACAGCTGCTCAGCACATCGTCARGCTGTTAGTTTAAACCTACACAGAGCTGCAGAAGACCCACAACATTGAAAATCTATAATAAATGAATGACTGTTTTTTTTTTGCCACAAATTGTGACAAAACAGAATAATGGAAAATTAATTTAGTTTATTTGTGTTCATTGAGAGAACCAGTAAATGTTTTTTGGTCAGGGCCTTCGTTGGCAGCTGTGGATGAGTGGTTAGAGCAGTTGTCCTCCAAGGAGAGAGTTGGCGGTTCAATTCCACTACTATTCAGTCACATGTCAAAGTGTCCCTGGGTGAGACAGGGGAACCCGTTATTGCCTCTGATGTGTGTCAAATCAGTGTATGAAGGTGTTTAGTCTCTGTGGAATGATTTACTCAGATTCACTTTGTRGAGATGTGTGTGTGAATGGGTGGACGGGTTTTTCCTACAACGTGGGGAAAATTTTCCCAAAAGAAGCAGCCTCGTGGGGACTGAAGTRAATYGTGGGGACCACTGCCAGGTCCCCACAAGTCCAAATGCAAATTACAGGTGTGGGGTTAGGTTTAGGACTAAGTTTTAGTTTAGTTTTAGGGTCAGGTAGGTACCTGTGAGGTTAATTTTAGGGTATATGGTCAGGGTTAGGCTATAAAGTCTAAAAAACATGAATGGAAGTCATTGCACGGTCCCCACAGGGTTCACAAACAAACGTGTGTGTGTGTGAATGGTAAATGAGGGCACAGATAGAAGGGTGCTGTAAAAGTACTGTCCATTTACCATCATAAGAACACAAATGCAACCATTTCTGCAGTTTAGGAACATGTCATGAATTTTACATCAACTTTTCAGCCTTCAGCAATAGAAACTGTGTAGTGAAGCCAAGTATAATCACTTTTATTTGTGCATTCCTCCTTAATTTAGTTATGATTGTTGTATGAATCTCTTTTCTTTCTCCTTCCACAGTTCCTTTGTGTTCTTTGTGTATTGCTTCTCCTCCAGGCAATTGCTCTCGCTGCAGCTCTCATCTTTGAAAGGAAGGTAAATGTTTCTCTGCACTCTCTAACTTTCTTTGAAATCCACCCATTGATATGATTAGTTACAGTCAGATCACAATTCTGTTATCATGTTATCTGACTGGCATCCACTGTGCCTGTTGATACCAATGCCTTAAAACAAAACCCTCTTTCACGTTTGTGTTTCTGCTTYACTCTGCTTTATGTAGACATCATCATTGTTTCAGAGCACCATACGAGAAGGAATTAAACACTACTACGATGATCTTGATTTCAAAAACATCCTGGATTWTGTGCAACAAAAGGTAGTAGTATATTTTTACTGAAACATTTTTTACTAATGTGTTGGGTTGATTCTTTATTGTTTAATAACAATGAAGTTATCAAACAAGACTACAGTAGTACAGTTGGGTTTATTGTCARTTTTCTAACGTGTTTAGTCTTGATAGTGTGTCTGACAGTCAGCTGCCTGATCTGTGAAGGAGATCCAGCCTGACTATAAGTAAATCATTTGGAGTGATCACTCAGTCATGGGAGAAACAAAGTCCATCCTGTTTAACTTCTTGTGTCTTTATAGCAGGACTTAATAAAAATCATCTGGGGCCTCATGTATAAACGGTGCATACGCAGAAAAAAGTTGCGTGCGCCAGGTCCTACGCCCACGTTGGGATGTATTAAAACCAATGTTGAGTGAGACTGTGCGGCAGCCACACAAAGTTTTCCAGTCGACAGTTTTAACCCACAAAGTCATGAATCTGACCTGAATCCACAGAAGTATGACTTTGTTGTGTTTTCTGGATGTAACATGTCTGAACACAGTGTTAGATTTTTTTTTATTTTAGTTTGAGTTTTTATTGTTTAAACATTTACATCTATTTTACATATTTAAATGGAGGCGTGTCAGGTGAGGTGTCTCACGTGCACTCAGTTCCACATTCATTGGGATGTACAGTATAAAGGAAAGGTGCGCAGGAACCAGCGTGCGCATGGTTTTATACATCTGAATATTTTGGTGCGGCGCACTTTTCACAATTTGTCCGTACGTCAACTTTTAGTGTGAAAACTGCACACTCCTTTATGCATGAGGCCCCTGGTCTTTACCAGATTCTAAAATTGTTCAAATCTAACCTTAGATGTGCAAAAATGCAAAACAGATTCCACCACATAATTTATGAAACAAAAACAAWTCCAAAGCAGAAAAGCTGTAAATATATAAAAATAGTAATAAGTCCATCCTMTGCCTCAATAGCTTGTATAACTGTAGCAGCGATAACTTGAAGCAGTTTTTATGGTTTCTTCAGAATAGTGATGGTGTGCAGTTTTAACATCAACCAAACCAACAAACTCAAAGCATATGTCTGTTTTTTTCTTCTATTATTTATGAAAGAACTAACATGTTCTTTAATGATTAGAATARTAATTGTTATAACCAATATAGAACAATATGGACAATAATATATTTTATAGTTCACTGTTTAGAATATTGGCAAGGATAGATGGTAAATTAAAAAAGGAATGTTGTTTATTGTAAATTAACAGCTAACAATGATGTAGTTTTATCATTAAAATACATCTTGTGCTGTTCTACAGTCTCAGGAAATGATTGCTAAATTTTAGTTTTTCAATGAAAGGTTCTGAATTCTTGTCCATGAAAATCTGTTTAAATATACATATTGTTAAATTGTGTGATAACTTCTTTTAGTCAAGGAAAGTTCAAAAAGCTTCTGAGTCGTAGAAAATGACTGCTGCTGTCATTTACACAAATGGCTGAAACGCACCAGAAATGCTATATTTTCTCTTAAATATGATGTTCTGTAAACAGGGCCTTAATGTTTTTGTCCAATAGTCCATATTTTAAACTCCAACTCATAGTGCTGGGCAGTATACTGTTTTGTACTGAATACCGGTTTTTATTTTTGTTATGATATGAATTTTCTGAAAACCGGACATTCCGGTTTAAATAGCGGAACGTTTAGTGGCGGCCGCCAATGAACTGTTGTTTCCCGGGGGACGTTTTTCCTTGCTGCACCGCTATGTGCATTAGCATGCTAATGTTTGGAGCAGCTAGTTGCAGCTGCGGGTGGCGATTCTGCTGCTTATATTGACTGATGTTTAAAAAAACATCCTGTTTTCACCGTCSCTGAATGTAGTAAACACCTCTTCAGTGACGTGCACAGTTAGATTTAACGCGGTTAGTTAATATGGAGACGTTATGCTGATGGAGACTTAACGTGGTTCTATTGTGAAAAGCCTGCAGGAAGTAGTTCGTAGTGGAGTTGGAAGTGTGCAAGGTGAGTCGTGCTGATAAGCTTTAATAAATAACATAAAACAATAAACCCGATCATAATCTTTTCTTAAC